TCCAAAAATTCAAGATCCTACATCATCGATTTTAGAGGCCCTCCAAACATTCAAGATCCTACAATATTTTGGAGGACCCCTCCAATATTTTGGAACCTTCCAAGATTTAGGAGGATTCGATGCACGGGGGAGGGGGCTATGTATCGAAGAATGGGCCCCTCGGTGGGGCCGAAACCAGCTGCATGCAGCAGATTTCGTAACAACCCATTTCCCAATCCCCCCCTTTCGTCCGGCATGCCTGGGGCGACCATTCCCAGGAGAGCCCAGCATCGACTCGACAAGTCGGATCGGCGATCGACACGGATGGGATCGGCGGAAATCAGCAGCCGAGTCGGGAAAAGTCGAATCGGCGGACATCGGCAGGCTAGTAGGCCTCCATTGAGAAATCGGCGCCCAAATCGGAATCCGAAACCGAATCGAATCGACATCGGAAGACATCGACATCGACTCGAATCGAGTCGGAGGAATCGAACCGAGCCCTACATTCCCCCCCCCACCACAACAGCCACGAGCGATCTCGGCATCCCCATCCGTGCCGGGGGGGCGGTGTCCGTGTCCGAGCGCTCGCGGTCTGGCTTCCGGGGCGCGATCCCGTGCGTGCGCGGTCGTCGCACTGCTGCGTTCCGCGAGAGGGGGCGTCCGCGAAGACGCGCACCCCGCAGCCGTGGAGCACCCGAGGGCCCCGGGGGTCCCGCCCGCGAGAGGCCGCGGGTGCCGACGTGCGCTTCCCGCCCCTCGCCATCGCTCGGACGTCCATTCCCTGTGTTTTTGTTCGGTTTCGTGCGTGTTTTTTTCGCCAAGTGGTCAAGGATGCTCCTCGATGGTCCTCGCCGAAGGAAAAATGCACACGTCCGAGCGATGCCAAGGCCCAGGGCGCACCCGCAACGCCCACGGGCACGGCCCCGCAGCGTGCCGCGGGGGATCGCCTGGCCAGCAGCAGATACCCCGGGGCGACTGGCACGACGACGAGCATCGAGGCGCGATTGGCGGCGAGCGCGGGGGGGAAGCGCGAAGGAGCGGGCCTTCTCAGAAGGCTCGGACTTACCCCGGCCTTCGAGAAGGCTTCTGGGCCAATTCCCCCAGGGCACCGGAGACTGCTCCGAAGGCGCGAGGTCTTCTGAGAGGTCCCCAGGCCTTCCCAGAAAGAAGCCCTTCTGTTCTCACTTCCCCCCCTCGCTCGCCACCGGATCGGGGAACAACATCGGCCGAGGCCTCGATATCCGAAGATCTGCAACGCGTTTTCATCCGTCTGGGCTTCCTGTAACGCCTCTCCGGTTCAGGAAAAACGCGGCGTCAAGGGTCTGGATCCGAGGACCGAGATCATTGACAATGGTTTGTGAGCGTTTTCTTATTCGGCGTTTCGACATGGGGCCGAAAGAAGGGCGAGGGGGGGGTCTGGCTCCGGACCTCTGCTTGCTGCGACTGTTTGCAGCAGTGCGTCCTATAGGGGCGACTCTACCTGCTTCACACAGGCGCCAAAAACAGCCCGGATCTACTCCATGGGGGGAGGGGGGTAAAGGGGCCCGCGGACCGGCAAAACAATGAATACGAAAACGATCACTTTCTAAACGTTCCTGTCTCTTTGTGAAGCCTCTGGACGCCGCACTGAAGCCCCTGAAGGCTTCCGCGGACCCCAGGAGACAGTCGGGAGTAGAATGAGGACCATTCTGCGACCAAGAACAAGAGTCCTGATAACCTCCACAAAGACGGAGGCTCGACATCAACTCCTTCCTTCCCCCCGCAGCGTTCAGACCACAGCCAGCCCGCGGGCCACAGATCCGGCCGACCCCCCCCCCCCCAGCGCCAACATCTCGGCCTCAGACGCGGAATGCGCCCTCTCCGCTGAGTGTCGACTGGTCCCGAAACCCAAGTAGCTGAAGAACTGCACCCAGAGGATATGGTCGAGCATTCTGATTGAACGGATCAGTCAGCGGGAGGTCTGGAGAGCATCTTGCACACGACATCTGATGGAAGGATGCAAGGGTAACTTTGGAAAGCCGCTTCAGAAATAGTTTCCTCAATCCTGGAGCTGTGCTTCCCGACATCAAGACGCGGACAACACCCGCACACCCACAAAGGCAGAGGAGCAGAGGGGGGGGGCGGATATCCCTAAAGCATACCTGTCCTTCTTCTTCGTGCCTCCACTTCGCTTCTCCTCAATCCCCATCCGCCCTCCCCCCTCCCTCCTCCTCTCTTCTCCCCGTCAATGTCAATCTCTCCTCCACCACAAGAGTCACAAGAGGAATTTCTGGGATCCGCGCTGGGCCCCCCTCCCTGGCGCGCGCGCAAGACGCGCCGGGTACGGCGTCGGAGGCGCCGCCATGGGGGGGCCCCACGCGGATCCAAGAGAGCCGCGCGGACCTCTAGAAGTTTATGGTTTATATCTTGTTGGTTCTTCTCTGGTCAACTCCACCTCCTCCTCCTCCTCCTCTTTCTCCTCCTCCTCCATTCCCCCTCCTTATAAATAACTTGTCCCTGTCGCACCCCGAAGCCAGTTTTCAAGGCGGGCCGGGCTTTTCGCCTGAGACTTCCTCACCATGTATTACCCTGAAGCTTAAAACTCGGCAACAGTTGCACACATGGACGGCGGGTGCTTTGTGTATATATACAAGTGGCACGTGTGTGCCCAGGCTCATACAACAAGCTGAAGGGGCGTTTGAAGCAGGAGTGACATGCAACAGCGAAGTCGCACTCGAGCGCAAGTGGGGTTGCCACACCTTGCGATGTGTGTACCAGGGCCCCCCAGGAAGCCTCAGGAGGCCCGACTTGGATACCAGAAGAGGCTCCAGGAGGCCCCAGGATTGTGAGTGTGTGTGTGTGTGTGATGTGTGCTTTGTGTGGTGCGTGCTTTTTGTGTGTTGTCGGTGTGTGTGTGTGTATGTTATGTTTGTCTAGCGTGTGATGTGTTGGGCGTGATTTGTGTCTCTGTGTGTGCATGTAGTTCTGAAGCCCCAGGAGGCCCCAGGAGGCCCCAGGCAGCCTCAGCAGGCCCAGGAGAACTCCAGGAGGCTCCGAGGCGGGGTCTGGGGTACCAGAAGGTCCAGAAAGCCCCAGGAGGCCCCAGGAGGTTCCAGGAGGCCCCCAGGAGGCTCCGAGGAGGGGTCTGGGGCTCGATTTTGGGAGGATGTCTCAGGCGAAACCGCCATTCTCTGAGATTCGGGGTCAAAAGTATTGAAATACCAAAATGTTGAAATTCCTATGTGTTTTTGGACCTCTATGTGTTTTTGGACCCACGATCTGCGTGAGGGGTGCCACCGATTTTCAGAATTTCGAGGATGTCCCGAGCGAAACGGCCATCGAAGACGCACGCACGCACGGACGCACGGACGCATTAATCCCCTCTGAGCTCTACTCCCTCGGAGAGGTGCGTATGAGAATATATATATATATATATATATATATATATATATATATATATGCTAGAACCATCGCGCGCTTCGCGCGCGCTCAAGTTTTAGCTAGGCTTGATAGCCTAACTTATGTAATAGAATTTTGGTCGTTTCTTGCGTCCAGGGGCTCCCTTGAAGGCCCTGCGCAAGCCTCGGAATCGTATAGAAGGGGAAGTGCGGAAACGCAGAAATCATAAATTCCCAAAGGCTTCCTGGGTTCTTTTGTGGGAGGCGAGGGGGGTCTGCCTTGTAGTCTGTTGTGCAAGAATAGACCGGGGGTCAAAATTGAAAAACAAAAAAACAAAAAAAAGGAATTGTGGGATTGCCATTATTTTCCAATTCCTCATCGCTGCTCGGCGCTGTTTTTTGTTTGTGCCTCGCGGTTTTTGTTAGCCCGGCCCCTCAGGGATGTGGGATCTTCCGGACCCCCTGGGGCTTCTGGATGCCTCCTGGAGGCCTGGAGAGCCGTCGGAAGGGTGTCTCGGGCTGCGCGGGAGCGTGTTGGGCCGTTCTTTACGTTCTGGGGGCTCCTTGGGGTCGTCATGGGCTGTCCTTCGGCGTCTTGGAGTCTCTCCCCGGGAAGCCGGGAGGCGCGATACCGGCCAGATGTCAGGGGATGTGTGGGACCCCCGAGTAGGAGTCCCACTTTGAACAAAAAAGGGGATTCTGGGAATTTCCTCTTTATTTGTTTTCGAAATCCACGATCTTCGAGGGTTGGAAGCAGGAAAACGTGAAAAGCGAAACAACCTTAGAAAAAAAACGTGAGAAATCAACGATATTACCCTCTTTGGGCTCTCTCGGGGCGGCTCTCACAGCTTTCTTGGGCTGTTCTTGGAACCTCGTCGGGGTCTTTTTGGGGCCTCTCAAAGATCGGGGGTGTGTTGGTGGCCTCTGGGGGGTCCCGGAGGCCTCTCGGAGGTCTCTGGAAGCCTCCTGCTCCCGCTCTTGGGCCCATCTTGCGCCTGTTCTGGGGTGGTCTGGGGCTGTCCTGGGCGCCTCGTCGGCAGTCTTGGAGCCTTCTTGGCCCGTCTTGGGGCCGTCCTGAGGGTCTCTTGGGTGATCTTCGGGCGGCCTCGGGACCTCTCCGGCGCTCTTGGACCGTTGGAAGCTCGAAAACGCGAGAAGCCAAGAACATGTGTAAAATTGATAATCTACGATGTTGGCCTCTTCGGGCCGTCCCGGGACGCCTCTCGGACTTCTCTTAGGGTCTCTTGGAGGTTACCTGGGAGCCTCGAGAGCCGTCGGAAGGCTGACTTGGGCTACTTGGGAGCGTCTTGGACCATCCTTTCGCATTCTGGGCGCTCCTGGGAATCCTCTTGGGCCCTCCTGGAGCGCTGTGGAGGCTCCCCGGAACGCCCGGGGGAGCGGTACCGCGGGAGCGTCCCCGAGATGTGGTGGGGAGGTGTGGCACCTGGAGCTGGGGGGGGGGGGCGGTATTTACATATTTATATATATATATATATGTATATATATATACATATATTCATATACACATGTCTATATCTATATCTATATCTATATATATTCTATAAATATATATGTAAATAGATATACACGATGTGTATACAACTCTCCCCCTCTCTTCCACGGCCCTCCGGGACCCCGCCGCGCCTTTCTGGATGGACGGGTCCACCACGATATCCACGAAGTCCCCCCGCTTGAAGTTGACGAGCAGGCGGCTCACGCCCGGCTCGCCCTGGGGGTCGCCGCGGTCGGCGGGGGCGTCACCGTCGAGGTCGGCGGCGTCGTCGGCGTCGTCGGCGTCGGCGGCGGCCCTGGCAGCGTCGGCGGCGTCGTCGTATTCGCCGGCGGCGTCGGCGTCGCCGTCGTCGTCGTCGCCCTCGCCGTATTCGCCAGCTGGGGTCGATCGACGATCTAAGTTTTCGGGTGTCTTGATTCTCTGTAGGCCTACGGAAGCCTCTGGAAGCTTCAGGCGGCCTCGGGGTGCGGTCTCTGGGGCCCCCCGCCTGCCTCGGGGTGCCTCCGTGGCCTCTGGGGGCCCCCGCCGGCCTCGGGATGCCTCCGTGGCCTCTGGGGCCCTGGGGCGCTTCGATTCTGATCCATGCCCCGGAAAACTGGTCCATTCCCCGGTGAACTGGTGCACTCCCCAGTGGCACCGGGGAGTGGACTACCTTGCGGGCATTTTGTCAAAATAGCGAATATTCCAAACGGAGTCGTCCTGGGACGGTCTGATTTTTTTTGTAGGTTTACGAACAACCATCAAATTCCCCCAGAGAGTCACCGGGGAATGTAGCAGCCAGTGCGCGTAGTAGTAATAGTAGTCGCCTTACAAATTGTAGTAGTAGAAGTCGTAGTAGTAGTAGTAGCAGCAGTAGTAGTAGGAGTAGTAATAGTATTCGTATTAATAGTAGTAGTAGTAGTAGTAGTTGTACTAATAGTAGTAATTGTATTAATAATAATCGAAATAATGGTAAGCATAATCGTAGCAGTAGTAATAATCGTAGTAGAAGTAGTAGTGGTAGTAGTAGTAGTAGTAGTAGTAGTAGTAGTAGTAGTAGTAGCAGTAGTAGTAGCAAAAGTAGTAGTAGTAGTAGTAGTAGTAGTAGTAGTAGTAGTAGTAGTAGTAGTAGTAGTAGTAGTCGTAGTAGTAGTAGTAGTAGTAGTAGTAGTAGTAGTAGTAGTAGTAGTAGTAGTAGTAGTAGTAGTAGTAGTAGTAGTAATAGTAGTAGTAGTCGTAGTAGTAGTAGTAGTAGTAGTAGTAGTAGTAGTAGTAGTAGTAGTAGTAGTAGTAGTAGTAGTAGTAGTAGTAGTAGTAGTAGTAGTAGTCGTAGTAGTAGTAGCAGCAGTAGTAGTAGGAGTAGTAGTAGTAGTAGTAGTCGTAGTAGTAGTAGTAGTAGTAGTAGTAGTAGTAGTAGTAATAGTCGTAGTAGTAGTAGTAGTAGTAGTAGTAGTAGTAGTCGTCACAAGGCAGCTAGGCATGGACGGCCCCGGGTTGAACAAAAATGCTTCCGTGTTTCGCGTTTATTGTTTACATATTCGCGGGCAGCTGCCGATCTTGCCCTACCTGGAACTCGCTGCCTTTGAATGGCGAAATCCAATGTAATGAATAATTTTCGCGTTTATTGTTTACATCCACGGCCTTCCAGCAACGCTAACTTAGTATCCCTAATGCGCTACTTACGTGATATTGAACAAACGAATCGTAGCCAGCGTGGCCCCCGAACGCCGATGTCTTGCAATCCACGCGGTGCAATCTAGGCGGTGCGACGCATGCTATGCAACGTAGGTAGCGCGAGCCACGCGGTGCAGTTCATGCAATGCACAGCAACGCCAAGCAACGCTAAGCAATGCAAAGCAACGCAAAGCAAAGCACAACATGGCCTACAGTTGGCTCCGCGCGCCCAACATGTGGCCTGGGAGTGGTGTTCTGGGAACACGAAGAGCACAAAGTGGCCTACAGTTGGCTCCGGGCACTCACGATGTGGCCTGGGAATGGTGTTCTGGCAAGATGCATCGTGATTCCAGGCAAGTGTTTCATACTTTCCAACGCTATGACTTTTTGCGTCCTAGCCTGGCTAGGACGAAACGAACATGAAAGCCACGAAATGCGATAGGGCTACAACTTTCCAACGTTACGAATGCCTTTTTGAAGCTCTGGTGAAAGATTTCCTCACAAAAACGACGCCGTTCGTAACGTTCAAAACGCTTAAATAACAGACCACGGACCACAGACGACCCCCAGGTCCCACGGGTGTCGCAGGTCCGACAAGTCCCACTGGTTCCGCAGGTCCCACATGTGTTGCGGGTCCCACCGGTCCCACAGGTCTTGCAGGTCCCACGGGTCCCACAGGCCACAGGGGTCCCCCAGGTCCCACAGGTGTTGCAAGCTCCTCGGGTGTCGTAGGTCTCACAGGTCCCACAAGTTTCGCAGGTCTCGCAGGTCCCACAGGACCGACAGGTGTCGCAGGTCTCATCAGTAGTAGTAGTAGTAATAGTAGTAGTAGTAGTAGTAGTAGTAGTAGTGGTAGTAGTAGTAGTAGTAGTAGTAGTATGAGTAGTAGTAGTGGTAGTAGCAGTAGTAGTAGTAGTCGTAGAAATCGTAGTAGTAGTAGTAGTAGTAGTAGTAGTAGTAGTAGTAGTAGTAGTAGTAGTAGTAGTAGTAATAGTAGTAATAGTAGTACTAGTGGTAGTAGTTGAAGTAGTGGTGGTGGTAGTAGTAGTAGTGGTGGTAGTAGTAGTAATAGTCGTCACACTCTTAGTAGCAGTAGTAGTAGTAGTAGTCGTCCTACTCGTCGTCGCAATAGTAGTAGTAGTAGTAGTAGTAGTAGTAGTAGTAGTAGTAGTAGTAGTAGTAGTAGTAGTCGTAATAGTTTTAGTAGTCGTAGTAGCAGTCGTAGTACGGGTAGTGAGGGTAGTTGTAGTGGTATTCGTAGTAACACAAATCACAACAGAAGCGCCACTATTTGCAAATGAAGAAGATGAAACGTTTATGAATGGAACATGAAACGTGTAAGCGAATCTGAGAACACGGGCATGCAATGAATATGACATGCAACCGGACAGAACATGAAACGCAGACGCGAGCGAAACGCTTATGGAGCACAAGGGGTACGCCCATGACGCGCATACGAACGCGAACGATGCGCCCATGAAGGCTTCAGGATCGCCTCTACTTTAGCGCCTTCCTCCAGCTTGGGCTTGCGCACTGGACTTGGACTGAACGGTAGCAGGAGGGGCTCGGGTGCAGGACGAAGGGGGGCATTCAGCATCGAAGGTAGAGGCCCGGGGTCTCTTGGTGTACCTTTCTGGCCTCGGGGAGGCTCCTGGCCGCCGCGGCGGGGGCCCCAGGAGTGCGAGGTCGGACCACGGACAATGTGGAGGAGGGTCGGCGGAGGACTGGTGGAGGCCCACCACCGCGGGCCCGGAGAGGCCAAGCGTCGCTTGGGGGAGGGGGGACAAAAGGCCAGGTAATCAAGCAGGGCTCTCTGTCGGGGGAGCGTAAGACCCGGGTTTGCCAGGACTCGGGTTCGCCATCGTTCTGTTGACGACCGCGCCTCGGATTTTGACGAGGGGGAGTTTCGTGGGATGTCTGCAGCGGGAGGCCTCGTCAAAATGCAGGCTCGGCCTCGTCATTTTTTTGACGACCTCGTCGGGGATTTCCGAGTCCCCTGTACCCAGGTCTTACGTCCCCCTGACTCTGGGCCCCCCCGACCCACCTCTCCCCGTTATATCTATGCCTGCATATGCACGTTGCGTGAAATAGGTGTGCGCACGGACTATGTGTATAACCGTGTGCTTATACATACAAAGATCTATACTCGAACCACGCGCGCGCTTCGCGCGATTAGGTGGTACCCAAGCACAACCATCGGATGCGTCGCGAAGCGACTGAGGTAGGGAGCGGTTGCAAGAAAGCTGTGGGTAACATATGACTCGCTGAGGCTGCCAAGCATATAATCTACCCACTGGCCCTGTAGCTATCGGCCTACTCGATGAGAAGGAGCAGCTGCAGCATGATAGCGAAAAATTCGAGGCCAGGGCGGGAATGGAAAGACGGAGCAATCACCCTCGAACCTCGATCGTCGAGCGCCGATGGACCTTCGAGCGCCAATGAATGACGGGGCGAGGACGACAGAGAGGTCAACGACGACAGACGATAACGACGACTGCGAATACTACGATGACGATGACTACGACGCAACCCTGCCCTGCGAGCCAGTGCCGGGGTAGCTGTGACCCCCCAAGTCAGCCCAATTGCTTTAAACGGAGATTCAGAAACCAGATCTCGCAGGAGCCAATGACCCCCCAGAAGATCTCGCGGCCATAGCTGGAATAGTACATCGGAGAAAACCCACCTCGAACCTCCATCGTCGAGCCTCCATGACCGACGGATGCGACGTGAGCGACGCCTTTGGGGTCGTCTTGGGGCTCTCTAGGGGATCTCTGGGGGCAAAAAGGTAAGCGAGCCGTCCTGAAGCGCTCCGGGGCCAACCCAAAGGCCGCTGATTTGGACGCCCGAAATGGGTACGGAAAGAATGGGCAATATGCCCAACAACCAATGTTGTCCCAAACCAACAGCGGCCGCTGTTGGGCGGGCGGCCTCCTGTCTCGAATGGACACAAGCCGCGGCGGCGTGGACAGCGGATCTTGTTCAAAATGAACAAGATCCGCTGTTGGGCATAGTACCCATTCTTTCAGTACCCATTTCGGGCGTCCAGAGCTGAGGCCGTACTGGAGCACCCCAGCGCCGTTTCGGAGACATCCGGAGCGCTCCCGGGACCCCGCCGTGGAGGGCAGCGCGGGCGCGGGCCTCTCCCAGAGCCGCCTTCTAACGCCTCTTGGGCTCGTCCTTGGGGTCTCTGATGCTCTTTGGGGGGCCGTGTTGGGTCGTCTTGGGGCCCTCTTGGGCGCATCTTGGGTCGTCCGGGGGCCTTCTCGGGCGCCAGTTGGAGCGATGTTGGGCGGTCTTTGGGCCTCCTCGGGCCTTCTTGGGCGCGGGAAAGAAACGCGAAGCCCACGTTTGAAAGCTGCACGTTTGCCATTGGACGCTGGCGATTTTTACTTATTTGCGCCATCGTGAAATCCGCGTGGAGCTGTGCTGGGCCGTCTCGGGGGCCTCTTGAGCTGTCTTCCAGCCTTTTGGGGAACTACTTGGCTTGTCCTGGGCCGTCTCGGGGGCCTCTAAGGCCGTATTGGAGCGACCTGTGACCGCTTCGAAACTTTCGAAACCAAGGCCATATGAAGCGCCCCCAGGGCCCCGCCGGGGAGGATACCGCGGGCGCGGGCCCCTCTCGGAGCGAGCAGCCCTAGACGCCTCTTGTGCTCGTCTGTGGGACCTCTGGCGCCGCTTGGGGGCCCTGTCGGCTCGTCTGAAGGCCCTTTCTTGTCATGGTGAAGGAAGGCGGGCGTCAAGAAGTCCTTTGGCGGGAGCATGCACAGGGATGGTCGCCTACGGCGGGACAGCCCCCGCCCGGCCATGCGTGGACCACATCCTGGCGCCAACGACCACCATTCGTATAAGATGCAGACTGCCGTGCGAAGAATCCCGAGTCTGTGCCATTGGGCTGGAGCACGCAGAGTAGTAGCTGCCAACGGCGGGACAGCCCCCGCCCAGCAACACGTGGACCACATCGTGTCGCCAACGACCACCGTTCTTCTCAGATGCCCCATGCAGTGCGAAGTATTCAAAATATGTTCAAGCCAGCCGCGGGAAGCACTCCCCTCCTACTGCATTTCCCCCCTCCTACTCCATTTCCCCCCCTCCTCTTCCTCGTCCTCCTCATCAGCATACCCCTCCCCCTCTTCCTCTACAAATATCCCTTCCTCCTTCTCCTTCCTCCCCCTCATCCTCCTCCTCCAGCTCCCCTCCCTGCTTCCTCAAAGACTCCCGCTCTTCAATATGCTGCTGTAAATCGCCCTGCTGCGGCTGCCCAGCCGCAACCCCTCCTCATCCTCCACTTCTCCTGAACTCCCTCAAGCTCCCATACTCCCACTTGTCAGAACCACCTTCGGTGAGGGACTTGTGCTTAGCGTGTCGCGGCGGCGGCCATGGCGACCCGCTGCCTATAAGCGGATAGCGATTCGCTCCGCTTCGCTGGAAAGGACGCTGGGCAAGGCTTGAGACGTTGAACCATAGAGACTGGGAAGTGGTTCGTGTACTGTCGCGCGGAAGAATGGTGGACCTGAACCGGCGGCGCGACACGCCAGGCAACAGTTCCGGGCCGTAAAATACTGTGACAACGTTTCTCCACCTCGCTCCCCTCCTCCTCGACCTCCTCCTCCTCTCTGTCCTGCTCCTCCTTCTCCTGCTCCTGTGTCAACTCTGCTCGGGGCGACGCTCAGTCGTTAGATGTAGCTCGGCCCCTCTGGACCATCAAATACTCCAAATCCTCCTTCTCCTCCTCATCTTCCTCATGCTCCCCACCTTACATCCACAGAGGAACAAACAACTGCATCAACATAGTTGCTCGGAGGTCCGCGCGAATTTCTTGAATCGGCGCTGGGCACCCCTCCCTAGCGTGCGGAGCGCGCCAGGGGCGACGCCGGTAGCGCAGCCATCCACCCTCCTCCCTCCTCCTCCTCCTCCTCTTCCTCCTCCTCCTCCTCCTCCTCCTCCTCTTCATCCTCCTACTCCTCCTCCTGCTCCTCCTCCTCCTCCTCCTCCTCCTCCTCCTCCTCCTCCTCCTTCCCCCCTCCTCCTCCTCCTCCTCCTCCTCGGAGCGGGCGGCCTTGCACCTCCACTTCTTCGAGAACGCATTGCGCGTTCCTGCCCGCCCGCCAGGCACCAAGGGCGCGGATGTGGGGAGGCGGGCGCAGTGGTGTTGAGGGACGGCTGGGCAGTGTCGAGGGAGGAAGGGCAGAGGAGGGACGGAGAGAGGGAGGGAGGGAGGGAGGGAGGGAGGGGAGGGATGATGGGGATGATGGGGATGATGATGATGCTGATGACGGTGGTGCTGATGATGCTGCTGATGATGACGATGGTGATGACCATGATGATGAGGATGATGATGCTGATGATGACAATGAGGATGATGCTGATGCTGATGCTGATGCAAATGCTGCTGCTGATGATGGTGATACGGGTGAAACTGATGATGCTGCTAACAATGATGGTTGTGATGATGATTATGGTGATGCTGATGATGATGCTGATGATGTTCATCATGTCCACGCTCATGCTCATGCTCATGATGATTATGATTATGATGATGCTGCTGATGATGATATGATCAAGATCATGATGATGCTGGGGAGGAGGAGGAGGAGGAGGAGGAGGAGGAGGAGGAGGAGAAGGAGAAGGAGGGGGGGGGACTGAGGCCTCTGCAAGTGCTTGGGCCTTTTGGGGCATCAAGGAGCCCTCGAGGACCTCTGGGGACATCCCGAAGCCTTTCGGGACTTCTCGGGGCCCTCAGCGGCCTCGTGAGATCTGGCAGGGTGGAGAGAGTAGGAGGAGAAGCAGCAGAAGGAGGATGAGGAGCTCCTAGTCCGAACGCGCTCCAGGACTTCCACGGAGCGCAACTGAGTGGGGGATCGATGCCAAGGCTTGAGGTTGCGCACGGACAGCCCCCGCAATGTAGCCGAGGCTGGCCTCCACAGGTCCCCCGGGGCAGTCTGGGCTGGTCTGACCACCTTCCCCCGCCGCCCCTTGCGCGGTGGCCTCTGGAGCGCCCCGCGCCCCCGTGGTTGAGCCCTGCCGTCCCTCGGACGTTCATTTCCCGTGCATGGTCCGGTCTCGTGCGTGTTTGTTTTTCTTGCTCGATGGTCCAGGCTGGTTCTCGATGGTCCTCGCCGAGAAAAAATGCACACGTCCGAGCGATGCCAATGAGCTGTTTGAGTCCGCCTCGGAGACCTCTGGGAGTCTGCCGAACTCCCCGCGAGGAACGGGGATGGGAGAAGCTCAGACCACGGGCGAGTCGACGTCTTCCGGCCGCCGGCCCCCGGACCTCCCTAGGGAAACGAACTCCATACACTGGCGCGTTTCCCGGCCCTGCGCTGAAATTCGCACAGGAACGCGGATTCTGGTGTATACGGGATCCTGGTGTATACATTTGTCGTTGTTTCCCTTGGGAAAAACGGGGGAAAAGTATACACCGCACCACCCCGACGTCGGATCCCTGACCCTTCACAAGTCGTGGTATTGAAAAACAGCCCGCCACTGGTAATGTATAGGTTCCAGTTTCGGACTCCCGACCCCTTCCCCATGAACGGCCTTCCTCTCCCGCGCACCTGCCGAAAACAGGGCGCCCAAACTGCCAGACCAGCAGGCTGCACCGGGAACCCTGGCGCCTCAAAGGGAAAATCTCGCAGGGAGGGGACGATGTCTGCTTCAGCCGGCTCCCGCCGCCGGAGCAGCCCTCGCTGTGCTTCCGACGGACTGTCGCGGGTCTCCGACGGGGACGAGAAGTCATCTTCTCGATTTCGTCGGAAGCTGTTAGGGAACCGAACTCTATACACCGACGCTTTTTCCAGCCCTGCACTGAAACTCGCACAGGAGAGCGGATCCTGGTGTATATGGGATGCTGGTGTATACATGTTCGTCATTTCCCCCCGAAAACGGGGAAACAACTATACACCACACCACCCTGACGTCGTCCCTGACCCTCAAAAAATCAAGGGATTTAAAAACAGCATGCCGCTGGTAATGTATATGTTCCAGTTTCCGAGCCGTGCCCTCTCTGGAGCACCGTGTGAGGGGTGCCTGGCCCAAAGGGCTCGTGCCATCGCCTCAGTGGAGTCCGTTCGTCACCAATTGAGGTCTACAGACCATGCGGTGATGACATGGGGTGAGGGCGCTCCCTCGGCAGCCCCGTCTGCGCCAGACCGTGTGGCGGGAGTGTCGCGCTGAATTGCGCCGCTCTTGCAAGCAAGCTACGCCCGATGGAACACCTGAGCATCATCGTCGCCATCGTCATCATCATCGGCATCGGTATCGGCATCGTCCTCGTCGCCGTCGTCATCGTCATCAGCAGCAGCATCATCATCATCCACCATTACCATCATCTTCAAAACCATCATCTTTGAGCATGCGCGCGCGGCGCCGCCAACGCAGCGCGCGAGACATTGCGCGATACTCCCCCTCATCACCATCCCCCCGCAGAATCATGAGATCGATAGCTGCAGTTTGTCCTGCCCTTCATCTCTCCCCGCTCCCATCCCCCTGCTTCCTCCTCGTCCTCCTGGCACTCCTCCCCTCTTGATTGTCCTCATCCTCTTGACTATCCTCATCCCCCCTCTTGGCATTCCTCCTCTGGATCGTCCTCATCCCCCCCTCCCTTCCCACCTGCGTGCCAGGATCCAACACCTTCGAAGCAATCGGATGGGGGGGGGGGCAGGGGGGGGAGCGGCAGGCCGGCGACACGCCGAGCCCGACCCATCCTCCCTCACCCGAGGGCGCGCCCCCCTGGGGGGGAGACGGGGAGGAGGAGGAGGAGGAGGAGGAGGAGGAGGAGGAGGAGGAGGAGGAGGAGGAGGCTCCCGCGGAGGTCGGTCCTTCTCGGCGTCCTGGGCCCTCCCCTTCCCGCCCCCATCCCGCGTCGTACTGAGCGTCTCTCCCCCGTTCCCCCCTCCACAGTCCCGCTCCCCCCCTCGTCCCTGGTTCTCCACCCCTCTCCTGGGCCCTCTCCTCTCCGAGGCCCTCTCTCTCTCTCTCTTTCTGTCCCTCTCTCTCCCTCTCCCCCTCCCTCCACCCCAGGCCCTCGGGCCCTATCCTCCTCCTCTTCCTGGGCCCTCCCGCGCCCCCCCCCATCTTTTCTTCCCACGAGCCCCGCTCCGTGGCGGTATCCGCGGGAGATGGTGTGCAGCTTCCCCATGGCGCCGCGGCTTCGACCAGAACCCTCCTTCGCGCAGCGCCTGCAACCGCCCCCTCGAGCCAAAGTCCAGCCCTCCCCGGCGACCCTGGAGCCGGGAGGGGGAGCGGATCATCCTTCCTCACGCTCCTCCTACTCCTCCTCCTCGTCCTCCTCCTCCTCCTCCCCCCCCTCCTCCTCCTCCTCCTCCTCCTCCTCCTCCTCCTCTTCCTCCTCCTCCTCCTCCTCCTCTTATCTCGCCTCCCTCTCCTCCCTCCTCCTCCTCCTCCTCCTCCTCCTCCTCCTCCTCTTCCTCCTCCCCTCCTCCTCTCATCCTCTCCTCCTCTCCTCCTCCTCCTCCTCTCCTCCTCTTGCTCCTCCCCCGCCTCCTCCTTCCCCGCCTCCTCCTCCTAGGCCTCCTGACGCCCAGACTGTGAACGGTTTTTGGCTCAAGCCATGGTGCGCTCGTTTGCCCTTTCTCCTCCCCCCCCCTCTCCCCCTGCCTCCTCCGCAGGAGGAGGTAGAGGCGCTCGAGCCTGGGCCCGCACCGCACGAGTAAAAGAGCCGTCGCCATCCACAGAGACAGAGCACGGGCTCACCCCTGCTTTTCGCTCTCAACGC